TTCTTCAAAAACTTTGTTCATCCGTTGTTCTCCATATTGTTCACTTGAACTAGTTATTCATTTTTTTTGTAGATTTACCATCTAATTTTCTTATGCTCCACTTTCGGACATCCCTGATTTTATGCTTGACAAACACTAATAAATTGTTCGCATGATAGGTGAATAGACTTGTTGAGACTCATAAACTTCGGACGTGTTGCGAAGACATCTACTATAATTTCAAGGTCCACGGTTGATTGCCTGGAAAAGCTTCCACATGTTTACATACATAAATTGATCTGATTAAATTAATTGTTTGGGCTTTGATTGTGTTTGCTGTCCGGCCGTCAACTCGAAACAACACATAAGTCGACCCTCAAACCAAATATTATTGAAGGATCAGTTTGATTCGCTTTTATCAATTACCAACGCTTGTATAAACGGGAATTGCTTAATACATTCCTATTGAATGTAGCAATATTTCGCTAAACTCAACTTCAAATCCGGAATCCGTTAAATAGAATATATTTTTGCTCTTGTACGGTCGGCCGGATTTACGAACTTAGCAATCCGTATTACCAAAGTAAACGTGAAGTGGTTCGCTTATAACTTTTCCAGACTTTTAAGCCTTTGGAGATTTAAATTCTTCTTATAAATTGAGGTATTTTTGCTTTCCGGTTAAATATCTGCAATAACTTTATTATTGAGTAAGCTTGTTTCAAAATACAGTCGAGTTAATGGATGTTTCTATCCCTTATCTATTCCTGTCTTAATGCTAACTGAACAAATCATGTGGACTAATATTATTAAACATTTTGTTAACATACACAGCATATGTGAATTTACGGATAAGCTTTAGAGAGGAAAACATGTAATTCGTATGAATAATAAATTTAAAGTTGATTAAGCGCTTGGAAATGTTATAAGAGATCTAAACTGCTGTTACAATGAAACCGTATAAAGCTTCAGCAGGAAAGTTAAATTAGTTTCTCCGTTAGCTAAATTTTGATTTTTATTGCTAACTAATAAAGCTAACATTTGACTTACCCGCAACAATGTTCCGGCTTTCATTGAACTGTTTGAAATAAAATTTGGAAAATTTAATTTAGTGAAACCCACGATTCTTTGGTTGGTTTTATTTATCAAAAATGCATAAAATGTCAATGGTAGACATTAATTGTATAATTCATTGTATAATTCTTATGAAAGTATCAGAAATCAGGCTAACATTAGAAAAGTATTGCTGAAGTTCCCAACAATTAAGTGGTATTAAAGAGATATTTTTAACAAAGCAGTTCTAAGCATTAGTTATCTTTTTTAGATATATTTTAGAAAGCCGCTAAATACAATTCTATCTAATTTTAAAACTGAAAAATTTGGTTTTGCATATTTCTATGATTTGTTTATGATACAACTAATGGATATATCCTATATTAGCTCCTATTGTTTTATACCAAAAAAAATTAAACCTCCTTAGTTACCTAGAGTTTATTTTCTATTTTCCATCATTTGGATGTTCCTTCCTTCTGCTGATGCGTTTGATACGCGTTTTCACACTTAATTGCAATAATTGCAGGTTTTCGCCAATATACTGTTATTTTGCTTTTATATACTAGACCCATTTCGATCCCCCTGGAATTATTTGCTTCGTTTAGACTGATTTTATTTCAGTTGAGGCGCGAATCTACATGAAGGGAGTTTTTAAAACAATTTTTATTCCGATTGATATGGATTTCAGCTTCAAGATACAACTGTTGGTTATTACAGGCTTGTGAGAATATATACGAATTAAATGCTGATGAGTTTACATGCTATCTGTGAAACTAAAGAACATTATGTACCGTAAGCATAATTAGATATTTCCTTATGTTAAGTTGCAAAATAGGATATCATGAATTTGTGAAGTTGGCTAAATAGGATATCATAACTAGCCAGCCTTTTTTTGCACTCCAGTATCTGTAACCGTTGCGGTAGTTGATTGAATACTTTAACTCACTATACTTTAAGCACATTGTGATATAAAGGGTTTTTCAACGGTCACTAAGATGGAGAATTTTTCAATTTTTTTTAACCATCTTGCAATGTTGGAAAACCTTTATAAAATTAACTTTTTTTGATGGATTACAAAAAATTCTTTTTGTTACCCACTTGTATTTTGTCATAAACTTTGTGTTAAAGTTCTTCGAGAATTTCATAATTTAATTCCTAACTTTCTATTAGGAAATAGTTTGTTCCAGATAATTTCAATGCCTGTTATTATCAAGATCGGATTTGCTTCAATTATTTAATCAATGCTTTATTATAGATTAGCCTTCCTGAGAACAAGAACAACTTTCTTCGATGGAAACTTCCTTCATCAGTATTATTTGCTTTTCCCAATTTCCTTGAATTTTTTGAAATACTTTTTTAAGGTCGGTACGGCCAGCCGTTAATACTGTATGTCCAAATGAAGTTTTCGTTACCGATCTAGAAGTTGCCAACTGGGGTCCTTTCTGCTTTCTTCCTTTACATTTGCTCTTTCAAATAGGATTTTCTATTTTTACTAAATTTTCCTAGCCGGAGTTGAATGATTTCTCTAGCTTTGTGGTAAGTTACTAACTTTAGTGTTTCGCAATATTCAAAGTATCCATTTTAGAATTGTTTCAGTTCATGTTTTTTTCACTGACTAATCAATTTGGTTGCACCTTTATGATTTTTAATTAGTTTTTCAGCTTAGTTTTCGTCCACAGTTCCTCAATAGTTCATTAAGTCATTAAAATCGATATCATTATCTGTGCATTTTACTAGTGTCATATTTGGTTAAGGGTTCCCATAATGGAATTTGCGGATTCAATAACAAACTAATTCAGGTGAATAATTATTGCCTTGCACACTAGCAATTTTATCTGTTCTTGATCAAGTTTGCGTAACTTTATTTTATTGTTCAGCACTTGAATTTATTGTGTTCCACCCATTTGCGGCTGATTTATTTATTCTGGTTCACACACTTCGCTTTCTTGGGTAATTTACCATTTTAACAGCACCATTTAAAGGAAAAACTGGCCTATATAAAAACGACGAATTATCAATCGGATCTGATGCACAAATTTCCGAAAAAAAAATCGAAAGAGTGATTATTCGAGTATAGAAGGTGAAGATCCTCATCATCTAGCTCCTGTGAAGGAAGAGGTTACATTCAATCTGAAACTGTTTTAGGTACTACAGATCCAGCCCAATGTGACAATAGAGATTTTTTGGGCCCCTTAAAATTACGTTGGCCTTAAACGCTAAACGTTATTGTGATCATGCGCAGTGTTAACAAAATAAGGTGTTCAGGCAAATAACGTTAAGCGCATTTTTTAGTTTTTGATACCACGTTTGTTGCACTCTTAATAAGATAAACCTCACTTTATTGTTTTCTTATCCCCCTTTTTGTTTGGAAAAGTTTCAAAGCTAGTTTAAGTTTGTATTGTTATTAAATAAAAAGTGGAAGAAGAAAACATCGAAGCTGCCTTTCTGCACCGAAATGATTAGGGAGATGTGGATCACCATTTAATAAGAGACTTAATTTTACACGACATATTTGACCCACTTGTTGTTGCAAACTGAAGAGCTATTTTTAATTTGGAAAACATTGAGCCCAGAGATCGCTTTATCAATTTTAGGTTTCAGAAGGAATATATTCCAAACATATTAAATAAAAATCCAAAATAAAATAGTTATTCAAATATGTCAACACCGTCGTTCTGCTTTGTAACGTGATGCTTATTAACGTTACCGCTACTCGTACGTAAATAAAGGCACACGTTATCCTCTAACAACGTAAACGGTTATTTCTTTACTAATGCGCATGCTCAGAATAACGGATAACGTACAACGTGTTGCAATCAAGGGGCCTAAAAACTCCCTAATATCTTACATGTTTTGAAACCGAAAGTAAATAACACTGCTGAAATATTTGAGAATAAAGAGAAATAAGAAGAAATTTCAACATTTTAGCCACATAATTCGTTTTGGCATCGTTGGATAGAGAATTAAAAATTCGATTCTGTCAGTTTTGAACATTGGCTTTTTCACAATAATATTAACCCATTTCAGACAAAATAATTATAATTTCAGACATCATCCATGATTTAAACTGAATGCCCGACAAAATTAGTACTAAGATTCGACAAATAATTAAAAAATAAAATTCCAAGTATAAATTTACAATCCAGAAATTGCAATCACAGTACATATAAATTTAGTCAAAACGAACACTTTTTCTTGTAAAATTAAACATTCCGAAAAATTCTCACCTGAGAATTTTCGAAATTTATTTAAGCCTAGTTAGTTGGATTCCAGAGTAATAAGCTGAAGTAAGTTACATTGATATTACATTCTGTTAGCATTCCTTTAGCCGCAAAATAAATTGTGTATTGCATAAATAGTTGCCCCGGGAGCGTAGTAACTGCTAGACTTGCACACTATTATAAGTTAATGGCTTGTAAGTGCCAGTTTGTGGTCTTTATAACATTAATAAGGTGCTCTAAAATAGACTGCCGCAATACTGCAATTGCATTTGCTATGAAATATATATTTCCATTTCCAGGCAGATAAATGGAATAAAAAAATAGTAAACATTCTTAATTCCTCCTTTTTATTATCGTTATGTCTTTGGTATTTAATTAGCCAAACGTATATGTGGTGGGGAATAGCTACAGTAGTAGTAGTAGTAGTAGTAGTTTTGGTCGTGTTCTACCAGTGCGGAGATGAAATACTGATCTAAAGAAATAATTAGACTTTTTGGTTCATTTATTTCATTGCGTTTCAAATTCATTTGCCCTTTATTTACTTAAAAGAATTTGCCCTTTATTTACTTAATTTTTATTTTGATTAGTATTTGTAATTAAGCTATTAATTCAATGCACTTTATGTATTAATTTTTTTAAACAATTTAATATATGTTACTCAACAATACATCATTTAATATAATCAAATGAACAAATGTAGTTAAGCAAACTTTTTCACCATTTGATCTACAATTGATTTAAAAAGTTTAGTTTCAGTGCTTACTGCTACCATTTTCTATGTACTTGGACCTGAAACTGAAAATGCCCAATTTCCTCCTTTGTGATTTGATTTGTGAAAAAAAGACCCAATTTCCAGGTAAATAACACTGACATCACTCAGTATCTCATTGGCAGGTATACAATTTGTGAAAGCATTTCAGCAACCCCTCTGTCCATTGAAGCCAGAAGCCGCCTAAGGGTGTTTAAACGTTCTCCGTCGAGTCGGATGATTTCTTTCCCTTTTTCGTTTTAGGACTCCGGGGAAATGTATTCACATCTTCCTAAATTTTCCTTAATAACTCTTCTTCTCGATTGGCTTGAGTGTCAACTGAATTTTCTTTATATGCATAAAAGGCAGGCCGGGTTTGAAACTTGGAAAATGTATTTGTTTGCTGGCCTAAAGCCGGATTGGAAATAAAATAAGTTTGGAAAATTGACCGTCTTTTTTTTTTGAGATGATATCTGTATTTAACTGACCACTACTTTATGCGAATCAATAGCTAATTGAGGTAATATATTTTTATAATTTTATTTTCTATTTAAGAACATCTGACAATTTTAAAATTCGGATTTTTCCTTAGGAAACCTGGTGTAATTAACATAAAATTTAACTTTGAAGATTCACAAGAACTTGACGAATATTTGGCAACTTCAGCAAAATAGTTGCGATTTCCCTTGGGAAACTTGTTGAGTTAAAAGAAAGCAAACAAAAATTGTATTTTCCAAGCAGTAGGGGATGCCGCAGGACAGTCGTAATTTAGTTCTGCCAAGGGAGTTGCCTGCTATTTTTCAGGATTTTCAATATTTTCACGGCTTTTCTATTTCGGCAGGTCGATGCATACGAAATCGAATAGAGGCTGTTCAATATTTGATTCGTCAATTTAGTCTCAAATGTTTGGCATGCAACTCCATAGTGAATTGGCCTGCTTTGTGTCGATGGGTAAATATTCTTTTATAATGCCTCTTTCATGCGAGGCGTTTAACATTTTTATTATTTCTGATTTTCATTTTAGGATTTTTATCTTTATTGTTCTCCACGTTGTTTATCTATTGCCACCTAACGGGATGGGAAGTGAAAATTTTATTGCTCTAATGAGAAATATATGGAGCGGTTGATACAGTGTGGTTTCTTGTGAAATCTAAATTTATTGGGTGTGTATTTTCCGTAGAATACCACTAGATTAAGGTAAATTTTTGTGAGTTAACAAACGCTTTGAGAAATCGTGTTTAATTGATTTTTTAATTTTTATTTTATTTAAATTTGAATTACATTCAACAGTAACATAATATCTGTAAAATATAATACTGTGCCTAATTTTTAGGCAGACAGTGTAACTATTTTACTCTCAATAACAAATACGGCAGTAGGCTTATTTATTATTTAACATCCAAGGCAATATTTATTCAGCCAAGGAAAAAAAAGACTCAAAGAACCCAATTATACATAAAAAACAAATAATATCATAAATCACACATTTGTCAAGATGCATTTGATAATTGCCATAAAATTCAATGGAATAATTCCACAATTTTAACAAAAGAACAATCTACAAAAAAACGTAAAATTAAAGAAAGCGCGCTAATTTTACTAATTGCAATTTTCTCTTACATCTTGAGCCTAAGTGTGTCGCAGGATACCCTCTAGGTGATAGTTCTTTGTAGCACTTTTTGATAAATAATTCGTTCTTATTGCGAAATAGGAGCACTATTTATCAATCTGTAATAAAAGACGTGAGGAAATTCTGTCTTTTTTAAAGACAAACATTTTTGAGGCGAAATACCCAACAAGACGTTTGTAAAAAAATGAATCCGCCTCAACAATATAGAACTTATCTACAGCAATTAATTTATTTTACTATTTTTTCTGTACTCCTATAACAGCAGCAGACAACACCTCCAGAGGAATGACGCCAATTTTGAATCACCCTGTATTGTTAGTTAAGATACGGTTTAATATTTCTGGTACAAATCAAACTACACAATTCATACATTTAATTTTTAAATGAGCATACAGTTTTAATAAAAACATATTTATCAAGAGTTGCTATCCTGATAATTCATATTACATTTTCAAATGTGTAATTGTTAACTCATATTTTAACACATGGCTCGTTTCCTTTTTTTTAAATAAAATTTTCCATCAAATTTCTGATATTTTGCCTAATTAAAAATCTGAATTCTTAAGAAGCGCCTATTAGCCCAATCGGTAACAAAAAACATCGTATTCCTAACATGTGCCAAGTACCTTTCCTTCGCAACTGATACGAATATTTCGTTTGTGTCGGCTAGTATGTTTACTAGTCTATCTATCTGCTATTCATATATTTCCTTGCTACTTTAGTTTATAATTTCTTAAAATTTTATTTTCAGGCATAACTATTTTTATGTACATTTAGATCTTCGGCCAATGTTTACTGCTTTACTTACTAACTTAACAACGTAGTTTACTTATGTAGAAAATTTTTCAAAGAATAAATTCTTTGAAGTTCTTCAAAATAAATGAAACTATCTCAAAATACAGTAGATGAAACTTTCATTACTTACGGGGTGTTAGAGTTCCAAGTCTTAATTTTTGAGCGATACTGTTTTTGACTTGTCTTTGAAGGGTTATGAAGCAATAATTATGTAACTCTAATGAGGTGGAAATTTAAATGGGTCTATACAAATAAACATCAACTTGTGCTGTCCCTTATTAGAAGAAACAAAATATATCAACAGTCACAGCCAACATAAAACACTAATAAAGCAGCAACATTTTCTTAAAACTTTAGTAAGCGGGAACCCGGTATCGAAGGTTTTATGGGTCAATATTTAAGATAGTTTTCACTTTCTGGATTCCGATTTATCAGTTAACGTTATACTTTTGAAAATTCATACAATTTCGAAGGCGCAGCAGCGATTCCATCTTAAGCCGCTCATAGATAATTTGAGTTATCACTTTGGGCGGCTCTTATTCTACCAAACTCAACTGTTTTATGTTTTATTACTTGAAAATGGAACACATTTTGATAAGTTTTTATGTGCAAATATAAATTCATATTTTATATGAACGTATCCAAAACATTGAAATTTTTCCCAAATAGGATAATACGTTTAAAAGTCATTTAAATTAAACGCGAGGTAATTCCGCAAATAAACTGATCGAAGCGAATTATATATCTTGAGTACTATTTTTTTCAATTATCTTAATTATCTAGCTCAAATAACGTCAAATTCCAGAAATTCAAATCAGGCAACCTGCTCGGTAAATCAAATGTCGACTGAATCGGTTATGAAATTATGAAATATTAATCAGCCTAATTGAATTATCTAATGGTGCCTTGATTTGTAGCATCTCATAATAATTAATTTACTCAATAGAAGATATCGTTTATTATTTATCCAAGTTTTTAGGCAAATACGAACATTGCGTATGCATGTTCAGGGTGTTTCAGTTTTTTCAAACCGAAATGGAACAGTCAATAAAAATAAAATGTATTAACTAATATAAAAACTGTATTAAATAAATGCCTGTTGCGAATGTTGAAGCTAACGGTTTGAAATTTTAGGGGCCTGAGATGTTTCGCCATGGACAGAAGTTTGAAAATAAGTGTGAGTCGACATAAACATAAACAGTCGATCATCGGCTGTTTTTCAGAATAGCAAAATGTTAAACAAAATATTTGTTTACCGTTTGATAGTTAAATTAACTTGATTACATGTTTGTTAATAAATAACCCAACCACTGCAGAATGTGATAGTTTTAGACACGGTGAAATCATATCGCTTTATGCATTATCATTTTGTCTTGCTTGAAAGATTGAAGATGAAAAACTGAGATTTTTCAATATAACTATTTTTTGTATTACATAATTTTTTAGACACTTTAAACCAATCTCATTTTTGAATTAAAACAAAACAAGACTATTAAAAAAAACTAATATATTTTGTCCTGAGTCTTAACCCCTTTTCAATTAAGCAAAAACCGGGGAAAACGTTTTTAAAGCAACCTGGGGCTTCTTTGATTGTTGTCGCAAATTGCCCAAGCCGTCCAAATATCCAATCCAATAAGAATAATCTAATATCCGAAAGTTCCGTAAAATTATTCTTTGCCGTTATTATTATTAGCAGCTGTTTTTTGTAGCAGAACTTTAACAGGCGAAAGACGTTTCATTGAAAATGCAAAAACTGCCAATAAACGTACCAAAGTCGTTAAATAGCAAGTTTTTTAACAATTCAAGTTTAATTTATTTGGGAACTATTCAAAACTAACCTAAACCACGAATAAGATAATTATCATGACCTTCTAAAACAACCAGGAATAAAGGAAAACACAATTTCGGACAATAATATGTGCGACAGTATGCTTTATCTAAAACGACGTAGCAAAATTTTTTTAAATTTTCAGCCGCTATCTATTTACGGATTAATCCATTTACCTCAACGGAAATCTTCTACCAATTAGCATTGTTTTGAGTTGCCAAAAAGCAACTAAACAAGTGCTTTGCAAAAAATAATTTAGAAACTGCTCAACAAAATTAACGTTACACAGCTAACTTTGGAAGTGAATAAATTCTGATTTCCTCAAGCGATCTTGTTTCTGTTTGAAGCTTTTTCTAGTTCCATTTGTTTTCACTCAGTCAAAGTTTTGGAATAAATCAAGCACCTCAGATACATTTTTTACAGGGTGGCAAATGAAAAAAATCAAAATTGCTTGAAGTTTAACATATTCCTAGCTGGGCAAAAAAAAGTTGAAGATAAACCAAATAGCGCAAAACGGTTTTTGAATTTCTCAGACATCTTCCATTCACAAAGTGGTCTCAGAAAGTCAACTTTTTAGTTTTGCAGCGAAAACTCTTCTGCCCTTTGTCCGATTTTCACGATCTTGAGCTCATGTTGAAGCTAAAACTTCATATACATTCTAAGACAAAAATGTTATATACAGAGTTGTATGAAAAATGACTTAAATCAGAGTTTCCCCGAAAATCTGTGGTTCCAGCAGACTTTAATATTTCTTTAGTTCATGTAACCCGGAATATTGAATTTTTTGCAAGTCCAGCAACCAGTTGAACTTCACATGCGCGCTAGATTTCGACACTCAGTCCAAGAAAGGAAAATGTATCACTGCAAGTCGAAAAACTTTCTTCGATATATACCGACGATATTAATGCTTCTGATATTGAAATAGCAAAAACGTCTTCATGCTCAACTGAGAGAAAACGAAACCTTCACCAATTTTGCATTGTTTCATTTGCCCCCCGTAGAAACTTTATTTAAACCACTAATTTGTTGCAAAAATATACACTAACCGGCAAAGAATTACATTAATTAACGCTTCAAAGAGAAATCAAATCACTCTCAGCGATCAGAATTTATCCAGTTATCAGAAAAGTTAGTGGAAACTTGTCTGTGTAAAGTCTATTTTGTTGAGCAGTTTACTTTATTGCTTGACAATACTTATTAAAGGTAATTTTGTTACACTAATAATTTAAAAAAATTCCAAAGTCTTAAGTGAACTTTGGAAAAAATGAAGGTACAGTATACATAAGCGTTCCAAGTATTACTGATATATTCAAACGTTACGAATTCATTTTATGTAATTTTAGTGTCCGGTAAAATTTGATGTAATTTATTATGTGTATTAGCCATTGCTCTAGACTGTAGAATAATCTTGAAATCACTAACTTTGCGGGTGGTACAGGCTTGGTAATTAATAAAAACAGATCAATATTACAAGACTGTGTTTCGAAAAGTGAATATCCAACAATAAAAATCCTTGGGCACATACTAACATTGTATGAATGCAGAGCTTATTGCAGAATTAAAATTTTTACCAGTTTTGCAATAAACTTGTGAAATTGTAAACTTTACTTCATTCAAAAAAGTTCCTCTTAAATTATTGGTTTATATCAAATCCAGCAGCTACTCTAGAATAAATATTGCTGAAACTGTGAGGACATAAAAAATGTTATTATGTTGGTTTTTAGTTTGTTTCTGTAAACCAACAATATTTATGTTACGTTTTGCATTCAAATTTTCAATTAAAACATTGCTCACCGAAGTTGATACAAAATTTTTGTAATAGTCTTAGGCGACTTATTAACTGTTAATTTTCTGCTTCATATCCCTACAGGTTCTCTTTAATGCCATGCACTAGAGGTAAAATATACAAACAAATATATTTAATTTAAATCAGAGCGAGAAAATATAATAATACGAAACAACGAAAATAATATAATTGAAATGTAAACATTTATTTCAATAATTTTCGGGCTATAAATATATGGGTTACATTATTTACCTACTACCGAATTAAATTATTAAAATTTATTAATAACCGAACCATTATTGCGACTCAATAGCATAATAATATCGCTGTAATTGAGTATCTGATCCTGGTTATATGAAATAGTTTGCACTCGGAAGTGTTAAATCCAGTTAATAATTTGGGTGATTTATAGTTTAGTAGCCGGTAATTTTAAAGTCATAGTCCAAACAGCTCGTTAATCAACATTAGGATTTCATTAATTTCTGCTGACAATAACAAGTGTGTGTATGTTACGCTGTAGTAGTAATATTATATTTGGGTATTTCGGAAATACCAATTCGTTATGTGAGATGGACGTGTTAATTTCGATAATTATTGGGAAATGTGGAAAATTTCAGCTTGAAGTCCGTCGTTAAATGTGTTTGATTAATTGACTCAGTTTGGATTGCTTTAGGTAACAAATCCTTTCAAATAAAACGCAAGTTTTTGTGATTCTTCGGACTTTGAGACTCCATTGCCCACGACATGTGTAGTTATCAGAGTTATACATTTGTCGATTCATTAATAAACAGCAAATAACGAAATTTGCTAAGGGCAGTTAGGAAGTTTTCCTGTTTTTCCTCAAACTAGTTTACAGAGTCACATTCACTCTTATCACGTATCCACACATTTTAAACCAGACAATTTTCGGTTGCCTGAATAGCAATGTTAGAACAGATAAGCTGCAAACATGATGTGCTGGATGTCCCAGAACGTGTATTTATCATTTAACTTTGCCCATCAAGCCCTGGCCCAACGAAAACCAAAGTTCTTTGTTTACCAGCTCTATTATGATAGTAAATGGTATTTAAGTTGTGACTCGGCAGGATTAGTGAGGATTCGGGTCACTGTCAATAAAACCGTGTGAATGGATTAATTTGAGGGTAATTACCATGCGCAAAAACACGGATTATTAGGCGAAATAATTTTAGCTAGGGTATACCGTTTTCATGCATTATCTATGAAATAAGCTATACAATGTCCATTGTGTAACGAAATCGAAACTAAAGTGAACGCACAAAATGCTTTAAACCATGCTTTTTTTAAGATGATATTTTGTTAGTGATAAATACAGTCACAAACCCTCTCTCTTATATTGGAAATAAGTGAGTTAATGATCAACTGTTAATGCAGCACTCTCCTACCTTTTTTGAGAACCATTGCTAAAATTTTCAATAAAAATCTTATTCAGCTGTAGAAGGCGTACTAAGCTTTAGAGAGAAAGAAGACTTTGAAATGCGCGTGTTGTAAACTTTTAAACTTAGGATCAAAACAATGGAGAAAGTCTCGTAAATTAGGACCAACATTAGCGAAGTTAAAATCACTTTTCCCTTCTAATCGAGCTTCGTTATCTTATCCTAACTTACCTGTAATTGTCCATAATTCCTTTAGGCAATCCTCTCTGCTTCGGTGAAAATCGGCTACGGGTCGACTTTCACCTCCGCCTTCCAGAAATTTGAACAGCAAAGCACCGAAAAGCGCGTATCCAGTCATCAGAACAAACAGACTGGTTTTTCCGCAAAACATTGCTAATGTGCATTTTTTTGAGCTGGCGTTTTCCAGGTCTTCTTCGGAATTTTGCATCTGAAAAATAATTTTTTATTAGTAAATCTATAATTGCTAATTTTTTTATTATAGAGGTTTCTGACAAAAGCCCAGTGATGTACAGCATAATTTTAAAATTTAAAAAAATACACATTGCAAACAGGTTCATTTTGAGTTTTTTAGAAAAACGTGGGTCTTGAGAAGAAGAGTGGATTTCGATGTTTTCGTAAATAAAATATATCTGAATTATAACAGACAGACAATACAGAATGTACAGAATAAGGTGTACCTACTGATAGCAAAAAAATTCAAAAATATAAAAGGTGCTCCAAAATTAACGCATTATTCGAATTTGTAGCAAAATCTGCACTAATTTTAACTGGTGTAACATTTTTAACATAAATTTTCGATATTTGATTAAAAAATATATTTCTGCTTTGAGTTTGTTGTTTTGACCGTTTTTTAATAGACGAACATCTGGTACATACCCGAGTAAAAGTTTATGATATTAGTGTGATCTCTTTTTAGTCAATGCAATTAGTAATTAAAAACAAATTGAAAACTTTGTTTTACAAAAATGTCCCTACAATTTTTAATTGTGTTGCTTAAATTTATGTCTTTAAATTAGTTGATTAAACTGCACGACAAATTAAAGAAAATAAACGCATGAAAATAATTGAAACGCCTACGAAATATTTTTTTTCTACTTGTAATTGCAATAAATCAGGTTAACATTCCCGATATACGGGGTGTCGCAATAAGGATGGTAAGCGGCTGTATCGTAGAAAGTCTGTGTTGTAGAGTGATCGGAAGAAAAATTTGATAACAAACTTGACGAAAAGAATTTGCTGGAAATTATTTTGAAATTTCTCAGATGACCACTAGATGGCGCAATTGCAAACGGTTATTTTGAGATGCGGTTTTTGCAGTTTGGTTAATTTTTTCCTTTGCTTTCGAATGCGTGTAAAATAATTTGATGGTAGCATTTGAAATTTTTGTGAAAAATTATAACAAAGAAATTTTTTCGAACAGCGGATTTTTCGAAAATGATTAAGATTGCTTTTATATCACACATTGTAGAGTTTTTATTGCTCTTTCAATTGATAGTAAAAACGTTGAAATCGGTCCACCGTTTTGAAGTTACAGGTTTCTTTGAATTAAGCGGTTTGACTCTCCCTCCACGCTTTATTTGACAAGTTAGGAAAAAAGTTCATCAGGAAATTAG